CTCTGTGCCCAGTTTGTATTTATGCCTAGGACTGGCCCGACCCAGGTGAAGGACCTTGCATTTTGACTTGTTGAAGCTCATGCAGTTTGCACTGGCCCATTTCTCAAGCCTATCAAGGTCCCTCTGGATGGCATCTCTTCCCTCAAGTGAGTCCACGGCACCACACAACTTGGTGTCGTCGGCAAACTTACTGAGGGTGCACTCAATGCCGTCATCAATGTTGCTGACAAAGATGTTGAACAGCACTGGACCCAGAACAGACCCCTGAGGGACACTGCTTGACACTGGTCTCCATGTAGACATCGCACCATTGACCACAACTCTTTGAGTGCAACCATCCAGCCAGTTCTTTATCCACCGAGTGGTCCATCTGTCAAATCCGTGTCTCTCCATTTTAGAGACAAGGATGTCATGTGGGACAGTGTCAAACGCCTTGCACAAGTCCAGGAAAACGACATCCGTTGCTTTACCCATGTCAACCAGTGCTGTAGCTTTGTCATAGAAGGCCACTAAATTAGTCAGGCACGACTTGCCCCTGGCGAAGCCATGTTGGCTGTCACCAACCACTTGGTTATTTTTTATGTGCCTGAGTACAGCTACCAGGAGAATCTGTTCCATGATTTTACCTGGCACAGAGGTAAGGCTGACTGGTGTGTAGTTTCCTGGGTTCTCCTTGGTCCCTTTTTTAAAGATGGGGGTTATGTTTGCCCTTTTCCAATCTGTTGGAACCTCACCAGACTGCCAGGACCTCTCAAATATGATGGCTAGTGGCCTAGCAACTTCGGCCAGTTCCTTCAGAACCTGTGGATGTATCTCATCAGGTCCCACAGACTTGTGCACCTTCAGGTTCTCTAGGTGTTCCCGGACCTGATCTACTCCTACCCTGGGTGGAGTCTTCATTCTTTTTCTTTCATATTTCACATTCACATTCTTTGAACAGTGTCAGCATTGTTTCAAAACTGAATAATAATAATAATACAATAATAATAATAATAAACCAATATTCCCCAAATACCCTATACTTTGTTGCCTTACGTACTTCTATACGAGGAAGAAAGTTCAGGTTCAAACCACTGTCTTCTGCAGCAGAAGAATAGATTTGAACACAAGTTCTCCTCTTTCCAGAAGACTACAACTCTTAGTGGCATATAACATATTTTAGATTTCAGTTCTGTAACTTTTTATTCAACCTTCTTTGCAGGAGAAAGGTAGATTCAAATCTTGAATTGAGATTTAATATATGAAGCACTTGGAATTGTATATTATTTCCATGAACACAATATAAATATTTCTGGAGTTTAACTGTAAAGAACTGAAATCAGTGTAATACATTTTTTGATAGCGTGACAGATTACTTTTCTTAGGTGCTTTTTTTTTTTAAAAAAAAAAGGTTGCCCTCTTAAAGGAAAAGCTTTTTCATCCTTCTGCAATTGTATTGCTGTGATTCAGGCCTGATGAGGTAAGTGCTCCTGATCCACATCGACAAGCATGCAGCGCTCTTCTCCAGACAGCTCTGGAGTACTTGAGGCACACTCTCATCCAAAGCTGAGGAACATTTGTTATTAAGACGATCACACGAGAAGGCACAAGATAGATATTTAAAAGAAAGCTATTTAGATCACTCTGAAGATTTAAAAAATATCAGAACTGGAAGTTCTGCCACTTTCAGGTCCATTCAGCAAGACTGACACTGTATTACAAAAAATAGGATTTAAGTGGAGGAAAACAAATGTTAATAAAGTGCAAATGACTAACACTACATGTTTTTAAAAGGTCTTCAAACACCATTAGAAATCCATCACTATTTCTAACATGGCATTCTTCTGGCATGATTTGCAAAAATAACGTAGCAACTTCACACCTGCCACAAGAAGCTTACATTACTGTCAGGTGTTTTCTCTTTCAGCATGGTATTTGAAACATTTATACAAGTAAACAAATAGTCCCATGAGAAAAGCCGTACGTCTGCCTAAGCATTTTCTGAGCGTGGATGCAAAAGACAAGGGAAACCTAAGACAGCAGGTGGCCACACTCCAGTTTTGGGTCCCCTCCACCGTGTACAAGGCCTTGATCTGACTCTCCTTCATTGTCTCTGTGCTGGGTTTATGTGATGGGGTTTTGGTAGCAGGGGAAGGGCTGCAGAGCTGACCCCTGTAAGAAGCTGCAAGAAGCCTCCCAGGCTCCGAAACCAGTCAGACTGGTCTCTGGCCAGGTCGGACCACCTTCCTCTCTGGCCAGGGCCAATCCAGTCAATGCCTGTGCGAATGTCATGTTTAAGATGGGACAAAGGAATCTGAGCCAGGTGGGACCTGAAATGAAGAGAGGGGAAGGTGGCGGACTGTCCCCTGGCCTCCCGAGTGGGCGTCTGCCCACACTGGATCCCCACTGCTCAGCTGGAGACGGCTGCAGTGGCACGGCTTGGAGAGCCCCGAAGTGCTTCGATCCCAGGGCGCCTGCTGGGTGGAGTGTGTCCTGCCGGGAATGATGAGGTTCATCAGGCTGGTTGGGCCCAGTGCAGCTGCAGTGGAGAGAGGACTGAGATCTGAGAGAACCGTCCACGCAGACACCAGGTCAGTGGAGATAGAGCAGGAGGAGATGTGCCGGAGCTGGGGTTCCCTTGCAGCCCATGGTGAGACAGCAGCGGCCCCACTGCCGCCCATGAGACCCACTCGCAGCCCGTGGGAGAGGATCCCATGCCGCAGCAGAGATGCCTGTGCCTAAGGGAGGTTGTAGAGGACCATTTCCTTTGGAAGGACCCCGTCACGCTGCTGAAGACTGATGGTGAAGCAGAGACGCATCTGAAATCATGAGAAGGCACTCCATGCCGGAGCAGGTGGCTGCGCCCGAAGAAGCTGTGACTCCATGAGGAAAGCCCACGCTGGAGCAATCTGATTGCAAGGTAAACGATTGCATCCTGCGCGACGGACTCACGTTGGAGTTCTTGGAGGACTGTCTTCCGCGAGGAGGGGCCCCACATTGGCGGCGAGTAAGAGTGTGAGGAGCCCTCTCCCTTTAAGGAAGGAGCAGCCGAAACGGCGTGTGATGAACTGACCTGCAACCCCCATTCCCGGTCCTCCTGCACCACTTGGGAAGGAGGCAGAGCTGGGAAGAAGGCGGGGGGGGGAAAGGTGTTGTAAGATCTGGCTTTATTTCTTGTTATCCTCTCAAGTAACTGTTTTTACTTAAATTGATTTGTCCCCACACTGAGTCTGTTTTGCCCAGGGACTATGGTCGGTGGGTGATCCCTCCCTGTTCTTATCTCAACCTTAGGTCCTTTTGTTACATTTTTCTTGTCTCTGCCTTCACTGTTGAGGGGTGAGGGTGGGGAAGAAGGAGTGAGTGAGCGGCTATTGTGGTAGCTGAGCTGCCGGCTGGGCTAAACCATGACACTCTCAGCTGCAAGTTGGAGTCATTTCACTGGTGCTATGCGGGAGGAGAGGAGAGCCACAGCAGGTTTAAAATGGGGCTTATGAAATAAAACTCCTACAATTTTAATAAAGCTTTATCCTAAGCGGGGGAAGGAAACAGCTCAGAAATAAATGGGAGGCGAATGAACAGATTGCCACCCCACTATCCCATGTCAGGTCGCATCACCTCTACACACAGAGCCGTGAAAGGAAAAGAAGAGGCAGAAAACACACGACAACAGACACATATTCTCTCCAAACCCTAGAGCTGTAACTTCTCCGTTTCTTTGGAAGAGATAGAGGGAAACTGCTTGGGCTGTGTAGCAACTGAGTTATGCAGGAATTGCCAGAACTGTAGGAAATAATACCACTGGAAGAAAAAAAAAACTATTCCTAATAAATTTACACCTGTAAGTTCTCAGTCAGCTTCACATTCACTTTCCAGATGCATGAAAAAGTCTTATTTCTAAAGGTCGTACCATGAATTTAATCACCTTACCTTTCTGTCTCTTGGACAGAGTCAGCAGTACTCTCTTTGTATTGTGGCACGCTGTCATTCATGTCCATACAGACTTTTCCAACAAATGCTCGTTGACCAAATTTATCTGTTGAGATGCATAAAAATATAAAACTCAGGATCACGGGTTCTCAAAAGCTGCTATTAAAGCCTGCACTGAAATCAAAACAGCAAATTCCACCTCAGCCAGCTTCATTTAAGATGAACAAAATTTATGCTTTTCTCATCTTTCACCTGGGACCATCCATATGACTTTTAAGGCTCAAAAGGAAAGAAAAAAAACCCACAAACATATAAATAGGAGTTGTCCTCTTTCACGTCAGTACTCAACTTTATAAATGTTATAATTGAGGACTAGATTACTGTAGTTTAACCACAACCAGAATGCGCAACGGTAGTATACGGAGGCCACAGGGAAGTAGAGGATGAGAAACACATGCATCAAAATACAGTAGCTGTAGTAGGTGATTACCCTGAGATGAAAAAGGCACAAAGACTTCAGCAAATCATCCCTCTTTAAGAGAAAGGAATGAGGCTCTTAACATGCCTCCCACGTGCAGCTGGATGGAGAAAATTACCAGAGCTACTTCTAGCTTCTTTCTTGAAATTTATCCATGCTAGGACTCAGAACTTGTGTAAGACTTAAAAGGAATACCTATAATATTCTAAATCAGCTCTCTTTTGTCTGAGAGAAAGACACTTCTACTGTCTGAGTTTTAAATACAATAGCTTCAAAGTTTTAGATGTTCCTACAAAATGAGAAAGACTAGGAAATTTTGGATGGAAACTGATATTCTTATTAAATTGATCTGCTTTGGGAGCTGGCTCAGCCTTGAGAAATCCTGCAAGAATCACAACAATTTCAAATAGCAGGCATTTACAAAGGTGAACAGAAGGCAGGGATAAGATCCTGATGCAACTCCCACTGTTCTGTTTTCGGAGGATGCGCGGAGATTTTTTCATGTTGATTCTCAACTGAGTGTTCAGAGTACCAGGAAATTGATGCACTGACTGCACCTCTTGTCATTCAGCCCTTTAATCCTCAACGAGCAAACGACTGGGAAGAGCAGAGAACTGCATCTGAGCAGCAACTCCAGCAGACCTAATTCAAGCTCAGCCAGCAGCTGATTTGGGAATGAAGAGACTAGAAGAAACAACAGTTTAACAGAGGTGGTTAAGTGAACAAGGGTAACTAGGGTGGATTTTGGGGACACAGTAGGACAGATACAGTGAACAAAAAAGTAGAAAGACAGATCCCTAGCTAGTCTAAAATGCGTAAGCTCTCTTTCCTTCAACTAACACAGTCTGCGTGAAACTCAGTGTTAGTCTTACCTGTAATTTCAGCAAGAAGAAGAGAAGTATCTGTGTAAATTGTTGCAAAGTAGCAAGCTGTAGTGGTGCCATTCTTCAGGGTTCGTCTCTATAAAAAGAAATCAGTTTCAACTGTCTGGTAAAAAAAAAAAACAGTCAAGCTGCCAAAATGCAGAACAGGCTGTCTGATTTCAAACTGTGAGAACATTTGGTTATTGTGAAGTTGTGCAGCGAAGTGGGAAGGTAAAATATAGATTGTTAATTTCATAATAGCTTTTTTAAGTCTCAGTGTTAATAAACAAAAATATTCCTCTTCCAAACCCATACAGGATTTTAACAATGGCTAAACCCATAGAAACCAGTCTATATTTCCTTAACTCAAACTGGAAATAAATTCTGACTTACATTTAGAAATGCAAACAACCAGTCGTTTATGTTATTTCCTAGTTTTGAAAGGCTCTCCAATTTTCACAGTGAAGCACTGTTTACCTAATGTTAGCAAAGGAAGGCTTTTGGGAAAAAGTAGTGGTTTTCTTTTGTCCACTTGATGTGGCTGGGAAAAATAGGCAGGTTTTCATGTATAAAAACTCTTTGTTATCTCTGAATATAGAGCAACCAACTTCAAGATAAAAGTAAACTGAGAAGAACTGCTCAGAGTGCAATTTAATTATTTACTTAATTATACCATTTGAAAGGAGAGGGTGGTTGACACCTGTTCGTATTACTTTTGGAGAACAGGACAGTAAAGGAAAAGGAAGAGCCATTTGAGGTTACTTTAAGTCATGACGAAATTTATAGCTTCACTTGATCTTGGGACTAATGCATACTATACTGACTAGCCAACCAACATAGAGGTTTGAATTACATTTTTGGATTCTTGCTACAATGTAATTCGAGAATTTTAGATTATTTTTTTAATGAGACAGAAGGTGAGACATCCAATGCAACTTTTGAGAATGGCTAGAGCTAATTATTTGACAAACATGAAGACAAGCTCTGTCTTTTCCATACAATACTCAAATTAAAGCCAGTAATTAAAAATATGTCTTTAAGGATTCCTAAAATGAGTTTCAAAAATAACAATATCATTACTGAGACCAACTACCTTTGTCTTTCCTAGCTTTTAAAACCCAGAATTCTCTACTTCTGGATTCCTAACATCATCGTTAAATGAAATCTAAAAACATTCTGTTTCCAAAACATCAGCACAAAGAATTGGCTTTCCTAAAATTTGAGGGACCAAAGGAGGTTCCAGCTAAAATCTGTCAAGTGTCAGCTGTTTTTCTTTTTTACCAAGTACAGAAAGTGTTTATCGAAAACAGAATTCTGATTTGAAAATTTCACTACGTTTTCATTACAACTCCAAAAGCACACAGATACATATGAAACAATATCTGCTCCCTGTGGGTTTAATCCTGTTTCTGAAGGTTATTATCAGCCTCATCAAATATTGCAGAGCAACTGTCATTCTGCAGCATTTGAGGGTGAAGACATTTTCCTGACCTTGTCCTATTTGATATACATGGGGAGAGCCTAATCATTGTGCTGAAGTTCTTACAACTAACTTCCATCTCTCACTGGCAGTTCTTGTACAGGTGATGTTATTAAACACCTTGCACAGTGAGCACTTTACCTGTGCTGATGTCACACAATCTGAACTGATGGGACAGTAACATGTTGAGGCACAAAGCTGGAAGGTGAGATCACCTCTTTGTTTTAAGTAGTTGAAGGCATGTGTGCTTGTCACTAGAGTTTATGACCAAGATGCTCCTACATGTTTTTATTATGGCAGATGGCAGAAAGTAATTTTTTTTTAAAACTGTGTGCCAAGGACAGTATAACTATTTATTTCAGATTCACTGTGTTATTATTTTGACAACACATGCTGTCACAGTATTAGACAAATGCACGGCAACTTATGCTGGCCAAATCATTTAATCTGCTGAAGATATTTCAGTCCTCATGTTAAAGGGTACATTTCAGTTCCAGAACAGAATCAGTACTCTGCAACGTGACCCAGCTGCTTATTGTTCATCAAATGGAATTTGACCTTAAAGCTTTTATATTGCTCGAAGCCACAGTCTCTCTCTTTGTGCCAGAATACCACCAACAGACTTCATCTAAAGCCCCTGCACTGAAAGATATTCCTGCTAGAAGGAGCTCAGCTGTAGAATCATCTTCCTTAATTACTCCAAAACACACCAGACTTGTTGTCCATGAGAAACGCCTTCTCTTTCACGTAGTCTTTGCAAAAGACAATTTTGTAACAGAAGCTTTTTGTGCAGAAATTTTTTACCACGCTTGCTCTGCATTGAGGTTGTCAGCACCTGCTGGCTGTACTAGCTCTGAGAGCACTCTTAAACATTGACCATTGTACTCAGATATCAGAAAAAATGATAAACACATTCATTGTTAACCATGTGCTTAAATGAACTGTCTTATCAGCAACAACAGAACAAGACTGGAACTACTAGGGGACAATATTGGCTGGCAACTAGAACAATGGCTACACTGTTGGTTTTATCCAGTTTTCATGACATTAAAACATGCTCTACTATTTCTGCTGACCTTCTGAAAACATACATATATTTCACAAATATGAATGTCGTCAAGTAGGCAAATGACATTTGCAGAACTTACAACAACTCTGGTGTACACTTCTTCTGCAAAATCACTGTCTTTGTATTTGGCCTCTGTTGGGAATGTATAGGTAGTCAACCACTGCAAAAGAGGTAGATCTACTCTTGTACCAGTAAACAAATACTGAGGAGCATGAATGTGTGTATCAACCATTCCTGGCATGAAGAATTCACTAGGGAGAGAAAAGAAAATTATAATAGTCCAAAATGTCATGGTATCTGTGAGCAAAATCCACCAGAGTAAATGGCAAGTACAGATTAAACTTCATCTTTCAGCACCAGCCTATCAACTCCTACTGTACCTCCACCCCTACTCCTTTGATGGTACGAAGCAGTTGAATAATAACTTTTACACAGATTTATATACAGCTAACTGAGAGAAAAACAACATAAGAGCATCATGAATCCAATTATCTTTAATATTTACGCAGACTAAATACCAACAGATAAAGCCAAACTGACTTCACGATAACTAAAATTACTGCACCGTAGAATCCACCTGAAAAAGAGAAGATCTGGATGCAGTCTTGCTTGCTAGTATGGATATATTTGGAATGCCTCTAGCTGCCAGACCACTGTATTTACAAAACTGTAACTTCCTATATGCCTGTATTGCTCTACATTTTATATGTGTCTACACATATATATATATTTTCAATCAATGAATTTCAAAGTTTAATGGAGGAACAGCCACTGTTTCTACAAATGCAGACACAGACACTGGTGAAAAAAATCTCTGCTCAATATCTTGACAGGAAAGGCATCTTTATTATGGTACTGTAATATTGTTTGTTGTCATGTAATGTTCAGGCAGTAACAGGGATGAATACATCCACATTACCAGGAAGTTGCTGTGATTATTCTGTTTTGTGCCAGAACTCCATACAGTACAAAATTTCTCTCGCTCCTTTTCCCTTCTCCCTGACTGCTGAATGAACAGTGATTTCGACTCTTCGCAGTTCCCCTTCTTCCTGTTTTCCCTGCATGCCAGAAATGCTGAAAGATCTTTCTCAATCTGATCCATACTCCCAGTACCTTCCATTTTCCTAGGCTTTTTCAAGGGAAGAAAACATCTGATGACTCATATATTCTGTATGATTAGTCTTCCAACAAAGCGTACAGATTTTTTAACAGCTGAACACTAAAATGATGCTGCAGCTCTAGATTCTAACCCACAAGTCATTTATGTTTTGCTACTACATGCAAAGCACAGTAGGTGCAATCCAAAACTATTTCACTTCACCAGAAAGGTGAGGGATTTCACTGGCTGAAGAAAAAGGAAACGCTCTGGCTGCAATACAGTTAGAAAGCCAAGGCTGTGTGTTTAGAAGGTTTAAATCTTCTAATTTTATTAGTTTTCATTAGGTAGTGTGTCGTAGTCCAAGCAATTGAGCTTTCTATCTGCAGTGTTAGTGTTATGTACGTTTACTGAGTCTAGAGTTTCAAGCTAGTTCGGCACAGCTCGCTGCTAACAAAAGGGATATAAAATGTAATCTCAAGAAAGAACCTCATTTACTTCCATAAGCACAGAAGAGGTCATGTATGAAAGCTAAACATGACATTTTGTTCCAAATCGGCCAGCACAATTCAGCCATGGCTGCAGTCTCAAACCAACGACAGCAAAACACATACAGACTGTCCACCCTCCCAGTCCCATCCGGGACAGAGGCAGCTCTTGGGTTAAGAGCTCTCACAGACCTGAAAGACAGTTTTACCCATGAGATTGGATTTAATGTGCTCCCTGCCAAAGCATATTCACAGAAACTCACATTACTTCACTCAGAGAATAAACTGCATTTGCTGAAAGCAATCTAAACAAAACACATACTGGTTACTCAGTTCTCTTATGTCAGATGTTTTGAACCCCCACTTCTTAGCCAGTTGCTCTTGCTGATCAGTTTGTTCCAAAAACACAATCTGAAAGAAAGAAAGAAAACAGAGTTAGATACTTTAAACCCATATCCTACACCAGCTTTACATGAAGGCAAAATGAATCACATCTTAAAACAGATTTTACACACCTACTGCAAAGGTGATAGGTTTGCATTGAAACACTTGTTCTTCCTAACTACAACGCATGATTTGAAGTACCTACTCACAATCCAGTGAATAACTGCACCTGCTTTGTAACTTGTAAGGAAACAAGTAATTCATTCTCAAGGAATACATGGGCAGATTTGCACAGACTTTAGCATCCACTGGCATTCCCGTAACATCTCACCATGGGGCTGGAACTAGACGATGGTTTAGGTCCCTTCAAACCCAAACCATTCTATGATTCTATTCTAGCACTACAGTGGTTCATTACGGAGGTGTGCAACAGCCTTATGGAAATGCAATTACAGTATTCATACCAAAGGGGCCAAATTAATGGCTTTGCCTAGGACTGACTGGCACTGAGCTAAATATTTCCTAATTTTCTCATTGCATTGTTAATGTTGGGTGTTTTTATTATTTTTAAGTGCCTAGGAAGAGAAGAGAAATTGAGGGGAAAAAACACAGTCATTTCCAGAACAGACTAAAAGCATGCCTAAGATCTTTGTTTATTTCAAAAAAACCCTACAAACTGGAGCATAACTCAGTCCAATTTGACTCCTAGAGGGCATCAAGTCTACCACTGCTGAGTTTCTGTTGCCAAGTCAGAATTTTAGCACACTTACTGTTTATTTTTAAATTCTGTGGTATTTTAACCTACAATATGACTCTTGGCAGCTGAATTTTCAACACTCTAATTTTCTGCTCTTGCAATAATAGGCACAACAACTCTCCAGGAAACCAAGAGCAGGGAGTCTCAGAGCCGCAATGCCCGCTACAGGCTCCAGGCGGGACCTGGGTTATGGCAACACGTGATGGAGCAGAGAAACCTGCCACCTCCCCCAGCCAAAGACTGTCTATCCTGGGCTTTCAGGTATTCTTGCCTAACCATGGTTCCTCCCAGAAACCAACTCGTGGTCTTCTAAGCCCCTTGGTATAAGAGGTTTTTCCTCTAAGTCCAAGGGAGTAATCTTACTGCTATCGGCATCCTTCTGCTCCTGTGGAGATTCCCACACTGAGGGCCTGTTATCACCCTCACAACAGCAGATTCTAAGGCAGCAATTAAAAAAAAAAAGTAAAGCCAAGATAAAATAGTTGTAAAAAGGTAATGGAGGAAGATTAAGAGGACCAAAAGAGCACTGTTTAGCAGTTATTTGCATGACCTTTTTTTCATGTGTATGACATCCCCTTTCACATTTTCTATTTTTTCTATGGAGAAGAATAAGCAAAGGCAGCTTAACTGTAGACAAGAAGTTTTTGCCTGCCTAGTCTTTTACATGTACATATGGCTTATATGATTTACATCATTGTCTAAAGAGCAGATGTTTTAAATTTTTAGTCAGAAAAAAATCTATTAAAATCATACCATTTAAATACCACACTAGCAAAATTTGCAAGAATATTGTAGTTCGTTAATACTTCACATGAAGCAGCATCTCTCTCCTTAAGAGGAATATAGCCAGCTTAACTAGCTATATATCTGCAGAGGGCTTAAAATACAGACCTACTGAAATTTCTGATGAGCAGTAAAGAAAATGTCACTCAGCTGCTGAAGTCAAAATGGATGCAGAATGAGTAATGTTAAAGCTGCTGGGGAACCAAAAAAAAAAAAAAAGAAAAGGAAAAAAAAAGAAAGAGAGAGAGAGAAACATGAAACACCAGATGGCAAATTCTGGAAATAGGCGTTGCCATGGAAAAGAAGTGGCTATTATATACTCTTAGGGTGCAGATAAATAAAACACTTGAATCACAGAAGAACGAAGAAAATATGTTTCAAGGGAGCTGGACACATGAAATCAACCCTAAACCTGACACTTGGTCCATAATTGTCAAATGCAGCTATGGATGAATCACCGAGACATCTACACTCTTTTCAAATAAACTTCCCAACAGAACTCCTTGGTCACCCAAGAGATGTTCCGCGTTGCTTTAGGATGCATTTGCTGTGGCCACCTTTCTCATGCTGAATGCTTTAAGGTCTTTAGACCTTTGCTTGAGTATTTGTTTCTACATTCAAGGTAACCAGCCTAGTGCACTGGTCCTTTGAATTAGTTCTGGACCTTGACACTGCAAAAACAAGAAAAATCTCTATGGCAGAGTCACTACAGAGTCAAGAGAAGTGCACAGACAAGACTAAAACCTTTAGCTTGTAAAGAAGGAAGTCAAGGACAATAACCAGCACTTTGGGAACTGTGCATTGCAAAAAGTAGGATCAATGGCTGGTAGCACCAGTGCCCAAACACTTTGATCAGTTCTAACGTGTCACCCATTGATGGGGCTAAAGGATCCAGAGATGAAGAGGTGACACTTCGCTACCCTGGTGCCTACCTCAGGCCTTTTTATTCCAAGAGATGCCCAAAGCTCCTCCATCAATGCATAGCTGGTCCACTAATCCATGCATCAACCCTGATGTGGTAAACCCTGACTACCTCCATGCACCACGGTGCAAATAACTTTGCTACCAAACAAATGGAAAGTGAACGATACTGGATGAAGGAACACTGTTGTTTTTTGGTCCAAAAGTGCCTGTGTTGCTTTATTTCCAGCTATGACATTCATAGATGAACATGAGTAAGCGGTCCATCCTTCTTTCCCCTCACACATGCTTCTCTTCCCTCTCTTCCCGCAATGCTTGGCTGACTTTCGCAATTATAGAAGACATGATGCCTTTCATTTGCTTAGTTCCCAAAACGAATGTGAGGCTAGATGAGAGAGAGGACCCTGCTCCTGAAAGAAGAGCCCAACCTGCTGAGAAAGGCTAAGCAACAAACTCCAGATGGATGTTGGTGCCTTGGTACCCTCCTCCTTGTACAGACAACACACGTCACTTGTTATCCCAGCTGGCTTAAATCTAGCACTTATGCTTGGCAGTACTTAACAATATTAACTCTTATTCCACAACTGTTGCTCTTTTCATGCCTTCAACAGGAGCTTTTCACTTAATACTTGTTCTATTTACTTAATATTCTACTCAGCTAAGTTAATCACACCAACATTTCAATGATAACTCACATTTTGCACCTGTCTCTATTTTCTTTACCCTGAGGAATACTCTTTCTATTCACTGTTCCTCAAGAGTGGCACCACACTGCTCTGTAAACCTCTCAGTTAAACACAGTCTTTATTTTGCTGTCTTAACAATAACTTGGGTCTCTACACCTCACACCAGTGCTTTCCTTCCTAAAGGCCCTTTTAATGTACAGGCAGTGCACAGAGAGGTGCCATTTCATCTGTGCCCTTTACGAGCCAAGTATCCCCACGTGCAGTGGGGGTCTGAGCAGTGTTTCTGCAGCGCTGGTTGTACGCTCCTGTACCTTGGGGGACAGGCAGGGACTCAAACTGGAGAATAGGACCTGGCTGATCACAAAAGCTCATCTGCTTGCCCTGCTAGAGTCTGTGCAAGATTTTTCCATGATGGAGTCATCAACATCAGGCAAAAGAACAATACTTACTTAGCTAAACTTATTTCTTTGGGAATAATACTGAAATAGTTTTGGTATAAATTTGGACAAGAAAAGTAAGCAATTTTCTAACCATCATGTCCTTCTTGAAGAGCCAACTCTTCTGTGATCCCAGCAGAAGTTCTGCATGAGGTTAAGTTTTAAGTAATAGGCTAAAGGGTACCAAAACTCACTGTATCAGATACTGGAAAAGTAAAATGCCAAGAATTTGTACCAAAAAGGAAAGAAAGTTCTTGTTACTGTACTCTGCTGGAAATTTTCTTGTTGAACAACAGTGTTTTACTGGAAAATATTTTTTTTTTAAATAACTTCATGGGAATGTGCCAATTTACGCAAGGAAAACGATATCCAGTGAATCCTTGTTCACTAGGAGAAGGGTAGAGAGTGACTGGGAGCACAAATTCCTAGGTATGGCTTATTAAGGTACTTGTTTTTCAAGAAAACCACTTAAGGGTCTTTATCTCCTAAAGATGCTGAGCAGAGATGCTTCTCCAGAAACTGCCATTAGTGAGAGTGGGGTAGGGTATAAGTTTCTGCCTCCTGCACCAGAGTTACACAAACCAAACCCTTTTTTCATTCAGTTCTATTGTTTTTAGTTGATGCCAGCCAATACATAGTTACGTAAGTTTTCATTCTCCTCCCATATATCAAAACACAGCTTCTAATAGGCTTTGCTACGCCTTGAGAGCTGTAAAAGGGCTGCCTTGAAACAGGCCCTCATGGACCTGTATGAACACAGAAAATAAGTAGTGTAAGGGCTCAAAGTGTGTTTTCACAGATTTCAAATGGTACTGAAGCCTGACACACTGCAGACTGTTATTTATCTGCAAGGAAGAAAATTACTTTGTTTAAATATATAGAGTACCTATATATGTTACTGAGTCTCTAAGAAATTACCAGTCTACCTACACAATGTGCACCATGAAACTGAGTTTCACCTGTGATAACACAGCTTCCCTGCCAGAATCGATCTTGCATTATCAGTAAGTGCAATGCTTGTCTCAAATTTGGCTTGTACCCCTAACATGCCCAACGTCATCATCTTCCTAACTTTTTATGGGTATATGCCGTGTTTTATCTTCTGACAAAAAAAAAAAAAAAGAAAAATAGCTTCAGTCAGAGGGCTGCGCATGAGTGCAGGGGGTACCCAGCAATTACTCACAGCCATTATTTTCATACTTAGAGAATGAAAAGCCCAGTCGTGACACTGAAAGGAGACGGAGAGAATTCGAAAGAACGCCTGGTTCAGGCGAGCTGCTGTTTTGGAAACACTTAGCACACTTCGAAAACAGATTTAGGCTATCTGCAGACTCGTGCCAAGGAGATAACGCGCCATCCCAGTTACCTCCAGCTCCTGCGGGCACGAAATCCCTTCTCCGCAGCTCTCTTCTCTTGCCGACAGACACCGCGCACTTGGAGAGC